TGTTGCCGTCGTGAGAAATAACTGCGTGTAGACTATATTCATGCCTTTTACTGACTTACAACTTTTTAGGGCTCTCCTAGTGCTCTCGACCTTTCGCTTCATTCCTTGCGAGCAGAGGTTGGATGACTTCATACTACACCGAAGACATCAGTATTTTATGTCCTCAAATTCCCACATCTGTGGATAGTAAGTTGTCTGAGAAAATGAACTTAGCTTGTGAGAGCCAGAAAGACTCGTGACCTTCATACTTTGCGTGCATTTCAAATGTCGCTGACCTTCGCTGGCGTACGCTTGAAAGCTGGATCGATACCTATACTTTCCTAGTCGCTCAAATGCTGACGAAGTATGAACGTACTCTGAGCCAACAGTAAGATTAGACCTGGAGACTGGGGAAAGGTCCAGTCTTCCCTTTCCAGGTTTTTGTAAGGTTTCTGTTGAGTCAAGCACATTAGGAATTTATGTTACAAGGAACTGACTGAGCCTAAGCCTGGGAATGGTTCTCCTAATAGAAGAGAATAGTCAAGGAATTGTGAAACTTAAGTTGCTAACTTCGATCCAGCAAAACAATAACATCCGTTGATTCTGAAACCTTTCCATAGCCCCCTCCCTACCTGCTTTGCTCACCGAAGGCCAAACTTTCTTGAACTTTGTACTTCTCATTATTAAATCTAATAAGAAATCATAACTTCAGACACAACGGGCCTCATACGGGCATTGGAAAATGGAACTGAAGAGGTCAGTCATCTATTGACCAACAGCTGCAATTTGATTCTGGAATGCAGGTTAGTAACTATTTCTTCTCAAGCCACCTTTCTTCTAGATTTTGAGGCGCCGTTGTAGTACAGGGACGCGCTCAAAAGCGGTAGGATAAAATACGTTGATGCACACAGTACGTTGATGACAAGCCTCGAGACCCCTGGTCGTGCAAAAGTTTCGAAACGCTGACAGACGCTCAAAAGGCTATCGCAAAGTATGAACGCACTCTTATAGAGGGTGTCATCCCTCGTGTGGAGTAGATGGCTAGGCCGGCAGAATGATACAGTACAGATTTTCTCGTAGGTAATGCGTTCTGCGGCATATTGTTTTCTAACTCTTAACAAGTAGCGTACCTGTGCTATACCTGAGCCCAATTTTGTGTTCTGACAGTTATCGTTTTGCGAATCCACATGTAATAAGCCTTCTATTCAGGTGCTGCAAAGCTGTGTTCCGACATGCGAAAAACTTCCACCATCACAAACTGAACGATTGTCGTGCTTACCATATAGCTGTAACCCCCACGTATGAACAGGTTCTGGCGCTGCAAAAAGCTGTTGCTGCAGCCTATAAGAAAGGCCGACCGTCAACGTCCAAGCAATCCTTCGTAGATGAAGAATTGGACTTTCAAACGGAAACGCTCGAAGATGACGTAGATTTCATTGATGGCTATGACGGTATCGAAGAATTCTGTGGTGATAGTGATAGTCCAGAACCCGGTGAAGTTATTGATGAGCATGAAGAAGCCGAAGTTTCCGATGACGATATGTCAGATTCAATAGAAGAAGGCGAATATATAGAGGATTTTCCCAGTGACAACGATCCAGCGGCGCCATCCTCAACTAGGGTCAGTTTGCTACTTGTTTCAGTGCTATCGCAGTTCCTGGTAGCAATGGTTAAACGGACTTGGGTAACTCGTCCTTAACATGTCATGACATTATACAATTCTAACACATTACATTCCAATGTGTTAACGTTTATGTAAGGAAATGTTATGATAACGTCCGTACAATCAGTGCTGCCACAAATTGCAGGAGCACTCCTAATTCTTTACTTTACTCCCTTAGCAACTATTCTGGTGCAGTTAGGTTTTAGTTCAAGAAAGCGTCAAGTTGTGGGTTTCTCATGAGCAGTAATTTCCGATCTCAAGACATCTGTCAATCGTGGCCCTCCTTTCTTTTGCTTTCTAAAAAACTCTTCTGCTTCAAAACTTCATCGGATGACGGAGCGGGAGTGTTCCCGAAGTTTCGTAGTGAGAAAAACTCTGGTTGTCAAAAGCCATTGAAACTCGGTGAAGAAACTCCTCAGAAATGTAATATGGATGGGCGGTCATGTCTTATTTCAAGGTCACGTCTCATTTCATTTTCTTTGCTTACCGCACATTCAAGCCCTACTTTTACCTTGTCTCACTAAACGTTATGAGAAACCTCCCGATTTTTAGGCAAATACACCCTAGTTCGCTGCGGACGGTTGGGCGTGTCAGGCAGTATGAGTGTTCACACCGTCAAAGCCGTTCTCTGCCTTCTTGTTGAAGCGCGCATGCGACAAAAAGTGGTAGAAAACGAGTAATACGAACGATATGATACAGTCATATCACTTGCTCGCTTCAACAACTGGTGGAGAACGGTTTGGCACCGCGCCAAATTCATCCCTGACACGCCCAACTGTCCGCAGCGGACTACACTATACTACAGGTTGCTTTACAAAGGTGAACCATTACTGCGGCCCATGCGTGAACCTTTTAAAATTCTGCAAGCAAAAAAACTACATAATGAAAGCTTTGGTATGTATGAAATGTGAATTGCGTACATCACACCTACTAAAAAGCGCGTTCACACTTTGCGAGTTGAGCGCACGCTTCGCGACGCGAGCGACAGCGTGCTGGGCGCTCCATCGCTATTCGGTGGCTCGTTGCAACAACTCTAGTTCAACTGCTGTCGGAAGGGAAGTCTCCGACCATTTTCTGGGTTAAGTGGCATAGTTTCCAAGAGAAGCTATTTCTTTCTGTCTCGATTTTTCTGTGAGCTAAACAGCGCGTAACCTTTTGTCCAGAGACGACGTGCAGCCAGGACACATTATCGCGATTGGAACGTTTTTTTCGAATACGACTCCTCCTCTCTATGGGGAACGCTCGATGATGTGCCCTGGCTCAAATGAATTTCCGTGGCTGTCAGACTCTACTCAAACGTATACCTTTCAGAGTGAGGATCATAATCAAGCTTGATGAATCAGACGCAGAGGCTCTGGAGATGGTTGACAGTTCCAGTGACGGTGGGTTCTGTTTTTTGTGCCTTTGCTCTTTACCAATGCTATACTGCGTCATGCCGAAAACATTCTGAATTGGTACGGCGCGGTTGTAGCTCAGCAGATCCGAGTCACGGCGAAGGCGGCGGCGTCGCAAATAGTGTTGTGTGCGCCACATTCGCATCGGGACCCAATCCATTCAACATGGAAGTGCTGTGTCAAGTAAATTGTTTAAGAAATAGTCTGCCACTTTGCATGCGGTGATGAGACTCAGATCTCTGCCCTACATCCCACACCGTTCATTCAGGCCACTTCTCCACCATTTCCTTCGTCAACATGAATTGGCCTAAATTGTGCTACCATTTATTTGCCTGCATACTTTTTGTTGAGAAAAATTTACTGGATTACATAATTAGAATTTGTTTACAGAGAGTGAAGCTATTTCGATACCAGAAAGTCCTCCACCTGATGGTCATCTAAACTTCCCCATATTCAACGATCAGCTTCTGGAATCACCGACAGATCACGAATATTTTGGAAAGGACGAAACAATTCCAACGCTTTCATTGCTTCTTCCAGTTGCTCAAATGGAATAACTTCCAATATCTTCCTCCCTCATTTCTAGTCACTATCACTCGACAATATACTCACACCGAGTGCAAGGTCCAGTTTTTCTGTTGGCATACTTTCAGGTTACTAGGTAAAGCGATTGCTTTAAAAATAAGATTGATCGCTAACTAGGAGATTACTTGTGAAATGGGCGTTGTTTGCTTTGGAGAGGGCATTATACACTTTCACTAGTTCCTTCTGCTTGTTTATGTTACCTAACAGGCTTCTCCCTGGTGAGACTTGTTAACTCTTGCGAAGCTGCGAACTGGTACAAATGAGCAATTTTGGTTATAGGCACTCAAGGTTTCAACAAGATAGCCTGTACAAGCTTCGCTGAGCAGCATTTGGTGCGCCAACCAAGCGGAACTACATCGCAAAATGTTTGTCGATTCAAAAGCAGAAATAATAGCACCTCCATCCCAATGGTGGAGAGGGTGTGTCCACGGCTTTTTATGAGAACGTGCTGGCGGCTGTGCTTTTGGCGGGATTCCGCCGCTTCGGGGCATTTGTAATCATGTCTTTGTCCGAAATAAGTCAGGATGACAGCTATCAAACATATCCCACGAAAAACGCATCCTACGTCAAGTATAAATGCACCCGTGGCCACGCCCACTCTATCTGCGGGATGTGGAACGTAACGTTCTTCTGAGCAGTCGGAGTGAGATATGGCCGAGAGGAGCCAGTGTTTCGCCATTTGTGTTGTCATAGCTGAAGGGCCGCTATCCTCGCATTATACGTGTAAAATCTGTGATTCAGTGCTACTATAATACTAATTCTTTCAATAGGTTTGTTTGAGTTTGGACATAATGAGAATTTGTTAAGAAGCGATAGTTACGTTTTGATGTTTAGCGCCTTACGGTTGTTCAGTTGGTACAAACGCTTGCGCATAACGTCGGCCTAAGAATTGGTCCGCTAGAAATTGCTGCCGTTAATGTCATCTTTCATTTTCAATTCAAAATCGTACGATGGGCATGTTCTTTGAGAACGTTTGATTGTCTCGTTTTAACAAAGTGTTGTCGTTTGTAAAACGAGGAACGACTTTCAATGTGCTCCAACATTTCAATAATAATATGAAAGAAATTTCGATAAAGTATTGCTCGAACTGTACGGACGTGCGTTTCATGCTTACCACACACGCGGTCTGGGACTTTAATCCCGGATCGGCTCCCACTCTTCACGGTCCCAAGGGTAGAAGGCCAGCCAAATTCTACCTTCGGGAACGGTGAATTTGTCTCGGAAACCTCAAGG